GATAAGACCTCTCGGATGGACCCCCAATTAACGGAATAACGAGGGGTCAATCAGGTCGTTTCGTCATGCCTAAATGTGACATTTCCGCACTTTATGACAAAACTAGGTCAAGGTCGGGGCCCAAAATACGAGGGATTGTACATGGCCCGGCGCCGGATCGAACTGTGGTGGTTTCGACAAAATCCGCCATCATGACCTTTTCACCCGAAAACCTTAAATCTCAAAAACGCGTTATTCGTGGGCCCGGGCGTTGCCGTGGCCCTCAGCCCTAACCCTAACCCTACCCCAACCCCTCAAGGTCAAGGTCAGAGCCACCGTACAAGACATTTGGCCGACCGTGGCCCCCCGGAGGGGTAGAACGTCACACAGTGGCTCTGACCAGAGGTCAAAGGTCACGCAGAGCCACTGTGCAAAAAACAAGGGTAGGTGAGCCGAGGGTTAGGAGTGTTTTACTAAAAGGGATTTATTGCACAATAATGTACGTATTATTATTACTATTAAAATTATTATTATTCTTATTCTTATTATTATTCTTATTCTTATTATTATTCTTATTATTATTATTATTATTATTATTATTAAGTATTATAATCAGTAGTAGTAGTAATGGTGGTAGTGGTAGTGGTAGTGGTAGTGGTAGTAGTAGTAGTAGTAGAAGTAGTAGTAGTAGTAGTCGTAGTAGTCGTAGTAGTAGCAGCAGGAGCAGCAGTAGTAGAAGCACCAACAGCAGCATTTGTTGTTTACATTTCTTTAGCACAGCTCATGATACATATTTTTAAATAGCACAAATTCATTTTTCGACAATAAGACTGTTAAATGTTTCCAATATCCCATAATAGTAGAAGCCCCTTAATGCTTTCCCGGACATCATATGTGCTGGTTATTTTATCTAACCATGTCAATCGCGTTTGTACGTTACCGTAGAAAGAACGCAATTAAGACATCTAAACCCCTTGACTTCTCGACCCCTTAGGATATTAAGATGACATCTAGACCCCTTATCTTAACCCTTTAAGATGATTTTTCGCCCCCAAATCAAAAGACTTTTCCCAAAAATGGATTTAAAAAGGAACCCTTTAAAATTAAAATTTTTGAAAAATTTTGGGAAAGACATAAAATATAACTTTAAGTTTTTTTTTAAAATTTTAATTTTTTTTTTGAAATATCATTTGAAAAATTTTACTTTTTTTTAAAATCTAATTTTGTGTTTTAATAAATTTTATCACATTTTTAAAATTTTTTTAATTTAGGGACTAAAATCGTTTTAAAAGTCCCGGGTTTAAAAAAATTTGGTCTAATTTAAAATTTTTGGGTCTTTTGGGCGCATTAAGGAACAAATTTTTTATTGAATATAAATTTTGGTTAGACCTGATTTTTTTATATTGCCCAAAAAAAAACTTTTTCCTGCCCGAAAAAAAAACATGAAACCAGTTTTTTAAAGTTTTAAAATATCCAAAGTAAATTCAAATGAGATTTGTCATCAAAAAGCAAGGCTATCATGGCCATATACTTCAATATTAAATGTGGCAACTATCATGATAATGTGTTTATGAGAAATTCAGGCTATACTTCAATGGTTGACAAAAAAGCGTTTTAACTTTTGCGAAGATATTTCTCCTGATTCAGTTTTTTTGACGAAATACTGAATTAAAATACATAAAAATTAGATTCGTCATCAAAAGGCATCACTGTCATAACAGAAAACATGAATGTTTTAGAGGCAAAGTGTCATTATATCCGATTTTACAAAGAATTTCGCAAAATTTTAAAGTGTGCTATTTTAGTAACACATCGATAGGGGAAACGTCGGGCTAAGGTAGAGTAGGACTCATTGATGCATGGAAATTATCTCAATTTTTTTTTCGCTTCCGTGGACATTTTAATAGATAAGCTTGCATGTGACGTTTGATGTTTTTGTCAAAATAGGAGTGAATATCGCTTATACTTAGTAATACGTAAAGATTAGATTTTCCCTTTACACCGATATTTTTAGAAAACTTTTACGGATTTTTCTTTTCTGTTAGGAAAAAATTAATTTTCCCCGTATTTCATTTAAAAATATTTAAAAAACTTTTAAATAAACTTTTATCAATCATCTACCCTTTAAAAAGGGGAATATCATCAAAAATTTGATTTTTTTTTTTGGGGGGAAGCAAAAACAAAACATCCTGCGAAATTTATTTGGTACATTATTTATGTTTTTTCACTAAGCTGAATTAACGGGTATATTTAAAAAATTTTTGATAAAAGGGTTTAAATGGTTTCAATAAACTTTTAGGATAACAAATAAATCTGTTTTAAAACATAAAAAGGGACTTTTCCTACTTTTTTGTAAGTTTAAATTTAAATATTAATTTCCGAGGGGATTTTTGGGAGAAAAACATTTTTAAAGGGGACGGGTGTAACTAATCAATTTAAGGGCCAGAGAAAAAAGCGGATGGCTCCTGGGGTGTTGTCAAAAATACTCTAGACATACAGCAAAATTACCCTCCAAAAAATTGCTGAAAGGTTTAAAAAACTAAAATTCTTTTAAATTATTTTACCGGAGAATGTCTTTGTAAAATACAAAAAACGAAAATTTCAAAACAAAGCATTATCTAATTTTGAAAATTGTGCGAAACACAATAGTATTAGACAAATTAGATTTGGTGAAGATTGATAAAATGAGGAGGCAATTAATCTAATTAATGTGGGTTAATAAATTGAGATGACTTAAATGGTTCATAGACACATTGCGCTTGCTTTTATAGTGTTTTTTTTATATTCCAAACGTAAAATATACATAATAATTGAAATACTAGTATATATATTTGTTTATTTTTTCATATTGCTAAACAATAATTCAATGTACGATCAATTATAAAATACTGAAAGTAGATAATAATAATGGTATACCGTGGCCGCGATGGATAAGTTAGTTGACCCAAAGAAAGAAGATACTGATAAACAAAATGCAAAAACAAATATTATAAATTATTTTACAAATTTATTTTAAAATCTTAAATGTCGACAGAAAAACAATATGTTATTTATGTTTTCAAAAGTTAAGGCAAAATATTGGAATTTTCCTGGAGATATTCCAAGAGAAATAAAAATAGTTTGAAAATAAGACCTTGCTTTTTTAAGTATTGAAAGCTGGAAAATGTTGGTATTAGTTTGCGTAGTGCTCAGTTTAGAAAAAAAGCTGACCAGTCATTAGTGCGTCAAATGTACATTGGTCAAGAGATTTTATATTTTTTCTTATTTTTCTTAACAACTTCAGGTTTAAGTAACAGTTAATTTTGCTTAATTTGGTTTTTATTTGTATTGTTCAATTTTGACCAAGGAAGACCAAGTAGTCAACGGTAAGTGGTAAGTGCACAAATATTGCTAACTAATATACTACTTGTGTTCTAAAAACAGTGCAACTCGATAGTTTAAGTTATAAATAAACAAAAATGTAAAAATGCTTTTAATATATAATTTACTGCCAAAACAAAATGAGTGAATATTCGGTTGCATAATATGGCATACATATTTGACAAAATGTTTAATCGGCATGTTCGCAAAAAGTGCTGTTTAAAGTTTAGATGCAATATTTCGTTTCAGGTCGTACATGTTCCAAGTGCTCCAGGTGGCAACCTTACTTGTTTTACTTTGAGTACTTCTCTTGACCAAGAGTGTGGTGTTTTGGGTCATATATTAGCGAGTGGTAAAAACTTATACCTTCAAACCCTTTTCCCTTACCCCTGAAGGTTCGAATCCATACATATAACTTCGATTTGTTTCAGCCGAGCAATGTATCCAGCTAACATACGGAACGTCGTGGTTCTTCTCATGTGGCCGTTCTTGCCTGACATATTGCGTAATATTCCTCCACCAGTAAAGCTGGACAGTTTGGATTTTCTGCCAGTGATTACGTGTCTAGGGCCATGTCAATGTTACAGCTTTTTAGCATTTTTGCGTCATTTTTTATGTTTTAAAATGTTTCGATGCGACTCTTTAACGTCCTTAATATGATTGTTCCGTGGCAATATTGTTGAAGGCATACTTTTGCAAATGCTATTGTTTTAAAGGCCCAAATATTTTGTAACTCTGTAATTCTAAGCACAATCGATGAAATGTTGGTGTCACAATTGCGTGTTTCTGTGTAGAATTTTTATTACAATAATGTTTCCATCAGTTATGACTTGTGATTTTTTATATTTTTTTAAAATTAATAGGACAAAATTTTAATGTGAAAAAGTATTTAATTTTTTTTTATATTAATACAAAGGGTTTTTCTAAACAAATAATTTTTTTGATGATCTACATCCTTTAACTCTAAAAAAATTAAAATTTATTTTCAAACAATGAAATAAATATATTATAATTGATTCAGATTTTCTGTTTCTTTCTTTCATGAGCGTATAAGCATAAAACATCTTTTAAATGTTTCTTTCTGTTAATTTAAAGTTCCAGAGGAATTTAGAAACATTATTATTTCTCATTTTTGTTTTAGTTTTTCATTCTTTCTTTGTTATTTATTTATTTATCTATAAAGTTTTCTTTGATTTTCTTTGCATTTATTTTTCTTAAATAATGGTCAATCGAATAATTTAAATTAAACTATGACTAAATGTAATAAGCAAAGTAAGTAAAACTACAAAATTATAAAAAAAAATGTTGTGTTGTTTCTTTTTTTCTTTACCTACTTTGAACATATGTTCAGATTGCACACTCGGCTTGCTTTGATGTTAAACGATCGTTATTCACATGTGAAATCTAATAATATTCATAATCAATTTTATACACGGATCTGTGTCTCTTTAGCAACAAACGTGATCGGTGAAACCACAGGTTTAAGAGTAAAGCAACAACAATAAAACCATACAACGTCATTGCTTAGGAAATGCTAGGAATTTGAGAAAACCAACCCAGAAATCTAATCTTTTAAGTGTGTTATGCTATTTACTATTTATTTGCTATTTATAACACATTCATATTTACCATGGAGAGATATAAAAATATAAGAATAACTTCAAAGATAATGGTGTTATTAAAATTATCAAATACAAAGAAATACTGTAAAACATACAAATATTTATATTTATCAACCAATAGAATATATGAAAAACTTATATATTGAACTAACACATGGTTGCCTAAAGAAACATAATCCGCTTTTTATCGCTTATGTTGACGCTGCTCATTTAATACAATAATTTATATTCACTTGTATTTCTTTTCGAATATTCTGTCGCAGAATATCATTCTTTATGTTGTTTTTCTACACTCTCCTTACTCGGTTTAATATTTGATCTGAACCAAATAACTATCCGACCTTTTTCCTCTTAAAGTAATATATGACTGTTATTGCATTGGTTGTTCCGGATAAAATAAAACGTAATCGCAATACAAAATTGATAAGGTTCCTAATGTTAGCTTTTAAAAAGGATTAACACAATTGAGAGAAATAGCAATATGTTTATTTTTTACTGTCGTCGTTTAATGCACCTGATTTTTCCTTAATTTCGGGGTAAAGCGGCATGACAACTCGCGATTTATTTCTATCTGTTGCAAACAAAATTCTTTTTTGATTATCTGTTTTATCTTTGATAGGTTTAAATCCATGATATGTAAGTGTTATATTCTGTAAGGAAACACCATTAGTCCTTCTCAGCGGCATAGCGTTAAAGAAATAGTCCATGTCCAAGGAAACAAGTCGATAAGCTGCACATCCGTCACGCGATCCTTTAAGCTCATAAACGAGTCGGCAAATCTATTGTTATTTAAAAAGACTTTTAATACTAAAATTGGAGTTAAAGGATTGCATTTAATTCGAATTACAAAGCATAATGCGAGACAGATTATGACATCAGAGAAGTTATTTTTGAAAGTTAATAACTTTAGAAAGTAAATGCTTTATGTGATAAGATCGTCATTAATTGATTTACAATAACCACATATTTATTACTTACATTTGAAGACATTGTGCATGCTACAAAATCGCACATTCTTAGTGTGTGTATGTCCGAAATAATGTCTTTCAGTGATGATAATGAGTATCTGTCAGTAATCGTCTTTTTATGATAAACAAACGTATAGTTTTGATACCTGTATATGATTAAATAACCAAGGCCATGACAATTAACTTAGCAATAAATACTAAAATGTTCTAAATACTATATCATGTTTCATATTGAACACTTTGAATTCATGGTTACTGTTTAATAACGGTCATATTGAATGGATTTTCTCTTTCAAAACAGGTGACATTTTTACTATAGTATAAAGGTTAATAACATTATTTAAAATTTGAATTTTTTATAGCAAAAAAAAAATAAATAAAGAAATATTATAAAAAATAATAAAACGATGCAATCCTTGATAATTTCATGGATGGGTATGATGTTCTAATTAGCAATTTCTTTAATATTACTGAATTATACAAACGTGCGTATTGCTTCCTGTATAACTTTCGGAAAATCAGTAGCAATAAATATGTATCGTCTTTCCGTATTGTTTTGTAAGTGCTCTTCAAACCATTTTTCTACAACATCCATGTATTCACTCAGATTGAAATATCTTGCATCATTTATCTTATCTGTCCGTCTTATGTGCAATCTTTAAAATAGATAGTGGTTAGAATCGAAATAATTGTACAGATTTATATGATTATGATGCAGAGTGACACAATAACTAAGTTATCATCACTTTTTTTATCCCGTTTCAAAAACAGTAGGGCGACAGGCATTGATCAAAATCATAACCATTCATTTAATACCACTAAGGTGTTTTTTTAAAGTAAACGATATTAACCAGGCTTTAAATCTGTTTGTTACGTTCATTTGCAATGCGGAATTTGCATCCAGTTATAAAAAGCTAGAAGCACGAATGTTTAACGTTTAATACAAACCCAATTAATGGCCGTCGAAAAACTAGCTGTTTCTGCTGCTTTTTTAAATGCAATTTTAAATCATTATTTGGTGTAATAAGATACTCCACAAACTGCCCAATCCACCATATTTCTGGATTTATATGAACCGTTTCTAGTCTGGCAGCTAAGTCTACTGGTATTACGAAGGGCATGTAGTCCACCAGATCGACACTTCTCATTGCGGGTAAGGCAATTGCCTGTTTGTCAGATATATTCTTTAACGCTGTTAATGTATAAAGATAATATAATATATATTTTAAGCATACACGGACTTAAAGACAGTTCATTTCCTTAAGTTTTCAACTATCTACATTGCTGAATGCAAAATATCACTTTAATAAACTAAAATGTTTACTGTTGAAGTTCTTAAGCTACAGTCTCACTTACATTCCGGCAGAGCCCCGGCAGAGCCCCGGTAGAAGTCCGGGGTGATCCGGGAACGACCGGGGTACGACCGGGAACAACCGGGGTACATCCGTAACTCTGCCAGCAACGTCCTGGATGATCCGGGATGATCCGGGAACATCCGGCATTCGACCCCGGATGGAATAAAATATTTAATATCACCGGGGTGGTCCGGGATGATCCGGGAAGGTATAGCTTTGCCGGCTTCATCCTTAGCTCTGCCGGGAACGACCGGGGTTATACCGGGAAAGCACCGTAGCTCTGCCGGCACAAACCGGGGATGATCCGGGGTATGATATAGCCGGTAGAGCTACGGTAGAGCTACGGTAGAGCCCCGATATATGCCGGCAGAGCCCCGGTAACTACAGGCAGAGCCCCGGAGGATAAAGGTAGAGCTACGGTTGATCCCGGTAGAGCCCCGGCAAAGCCCGGATCATTTCAAAAGAAAACCGACAATTTGCGATGATTGCACTTGTTTGTATTAAAAGCCTTCCCATTTCCCTTCTATCCAGTATGGCATAAGGATTTTTCAGAAAATCATCATGAATTACTATTCTGGAACAATAGATATTATATTAAATAAAAATTATATATCAATGTTATCATTTTTGGGCGTTTTCAATCCACCGGGGTTCTACCGGGGCTCTGCCTGGATCGTCCTGGGCTCTGCCGGGACTCTACATGGATCGACCGGGGCTCTGCCTGGGTCAATCGGGGCTCTTCCGGCGTCATCCTGGAACGACCGGGGAAGCACCGGCATGAACCGTAGCTTCACCTGGGCTCTGCCTGGATGATCCGGAGCGCATCCTGGGTGGTTAGTAGAGAACTACCGTAGTGCTGCCGGGGTAAGTGTGACCGAAACAATAATTTCAACCCGGATCGTCCCGGATCATCCCGGTAACTTACCGGGATGGTCCTGGGCTCTGCCGGGAGTAAGTGAGACCGAGGCTTAAAATTCATATTTAGTATCCAACTTTAAAGTTACATCAGTTAATATGTATAATTAAAAAAGATGTACTTGTCTGTATATGGAATTTAGATACAATTTGTAGGAGATATTTCATTTCGGGTAATTTCGAACATTATATAGACACAGACAGCTATCTGAGCAGAACCACCGACGGTCCATGAGCCTGTCGGATAACTTTCTTAAATGACAATATTCGGAGAATACTATCACCATCAGCATAATCAGCATGATATCTAGGAAAAGGAACTTTGCGTGTCTTTATATAAAGAATTCAATGTCATTTTAAACAGATATATATTTTGAGATGAAAATACTTTGTTCCCTTAAATAATTTTTAAGTCCTCGATTGTGAAGGGGATATGAAAACGGTCCATTATACGTTTTGGACGGTCCGTGAGCCTGCCGGAGACACCGGCACAGCGGGAAAAGTTTGAAATTGTAGATTTTAACAACTCGGCCTAGAACGCCCCTTATCTCGAAAAATTATTATTATCGTTACAACCTTAAGTTACATAAATTTTATCACCATCTTTAAAGGTCACTTTTAAGTAGTTAAAAGAATACACACCATTATTTAAAATCCAGAAAATATAAATGATTTAATGATCATGCAAAGTAGTTCACTGTGCATTTTAGAGAATTTGCAATGAAATGTATATTGAAATTAAAATGCTCACTAAGAAATTGTAAATGTGTGTTAATTTATTATATTCAAATATTTGTCTATCGATGCAATCGAAAAGTTTTGTTTTGTAGAAATCATTCATTCATACAAGGTAAACAATGTTTTTGTTGGAAATAAAATGCATACTATATAAGTTTATTTACCGTTCGCAAATTCAGTTAAATCGACTAAATCAGTCATTACGCAATTTTATTTTAAGCTTTACGGAGCAGCAAGAATGCCTTTTTTAATTACTTGTCACGTACTTTTAGTTTTTGTTACTGTATTGTTCATAACAGATGTACAATTAGTGCTGACAGGAAGAAATACGGTTTCCCAACCCTCTTTTGCATAGTTCCATCCCTTTGACCTGATAATAAGTGTTCTTTCAGTAGCATAGGCCGCAATCAAACAAAATGTCAGCTGGTGTAAAGTACTTCCAAAGCCGGCTTTGAACAAAAAATATAAATAAAGTAAATTTAAAAAAAGTATACATATGTAGATAAATAAATACAATATGCAACAGTTAATGTATATATATAAACAACATGACAGTTTTGAAAATATTATCAGATGGAAAAGTTAAAAAAAATATTTGAACCGGAGCAAACAAACGATACAAACAAATTTTAGTTTTCAACATATGCAAATATGTACTGACGTTAACTGGCTTTTCTCGATTAAATGTTTTTACCGGCTTTTTTTCATCAGGGCTAATAAATAGTACATCATAGTTACAATGTCAATAGATCGTTATTTGCTTACAAATGTGATCGCAACGTAAAAAAATGAGACGTCATCATTTGGGGTTTAGTTTATGAATACATGAATACAATAAAACTCTTTTGATAACCTAACTAATACATCAGTTTTATATAATTTATCAAACAAAAATACTTAAGAGCTTGCATTTAGGTATGAACATTTAGGAATTGGTCTTATAGACAGACTTTTATTTGCTGTTTTTTGAGCTGTTAATCTGTTTCTTATTTTATCCTCTATTGACTGATACAAAATTAGTTGCACCCATTACATATTAATACAGACAGTTCAGTTCAGGATTTCAACGAGCGGAATATTTTTATTACCAGCAAGCTTCTAAAACAGGGCTACCGCTATCATAAATAACGGAAATATTTTACTAAATTTTACAATCGTAACTTTGATTTAATTTCTAAATTCAATAGTGATTTAAAAACTCTTCTGCGACAAATTAGCAAGCCTGGTTTTTATGGCGATGTGATTTACAAACTTCGTAAGATTTTGGGTCATGGTAATTTGTCTGCTGTTTTTACTAAAATCATTAAACGTTTTATTAAAAGAGGTTATGACCCTACTATTTTAAGACATACTGCATGTTTAGTGTTCAACTCTTTTACAGTTGGACACTACGCTTTCCTCTTTTGATTGTATCTGACGGACCAAGTGGAAGACTCTATGATGGATAGTTCGTAAAGCCCTTTGGGACTGAATTGTCTTAATGTTCGTCTTCTGCCTTGCTTCGTCGGGCCCTTGTAGGTGATTTTCCTGTTGCTCTGTCTTCCTTTAGGACATTGAGTACTTTTGTTATGGTCATTGGGTTTACTTTTATATGTTTCTACATGATCATTTTAGTGTTTTACTTCTTAAACCTTTTGTAACCATGGCAACTGTTAAAATTTCACTTGGCGGGGATTCATTTTATTTACACTGTCTCGTTTATAGGAACATGGTGGGGCTAAGAGCGAGGTTTGGTGCACCATTAACTTGTTTAAACTCCCCAGCAGTCATTATAATGCTGCTGACCGTTCCAAGGCGGCCCCCACTGTATTCCTCAGATGTATGTCTATGTTGTTTCATACTGTTTTGGTGACACTTTTGCTTGTGTCCCTTGTTGTTTTCTCGTCTACGGTAAGTATCTTCCCAATTGCCTCTAGTTTTTATTTCTTTGATTAACCCCCCTTCCCCCGGTCTCCTGTCCCCTTCCCCATTGTGGGCCTATTATTCTTTTCTTTGAATTCCTAATCAGTTAGAAATTATTTATCATTTAATGATTAACCTGTCCGTGCTCTGTCTTTGCCCTGTCCTGTTTTTGTTTGAGGTCCGCCTGGGCTCCTTGCCATTGGTTCTTGTTGCTGGGTCATATGGGGTTGCATTCATTGAACGCCGCCTTTCCTTGTTGATCTTGTTTATCATATTTTATTGAACTACTAATGTCTCCTTTAATTTGAAGTATTTCATCTGCAATGTTACCCTCTTTTCTATAATTATAACATAGGTCACATACGGGATCGTTGTTATAGATACTTTAAGAATGGTTTTGCTCTCTTTATTTTAAGATGTACAGTTACCTTAAAGTAAATATTAAATTAATCAGCATGATATCTAGGAAACGGAGCCTTGCGTTTCAAATGTTTTGTCTTTTTATAAAGAATTCAATGTCATTTTAAACAGATATATATTTTGAGACGAAAATACTTTGTTCTCTTAAATAATTTTTAATCCCTCGATTGTGAAGGGGATATGAAAACGGTCCATATACGTTTTGGATATTTAACAAACCAAAAACAAAATAGCTACAATATTCATAAATTACGAAAGGTATTCTAAAAAAGTATAAAAGTATCAACTAAAAACCATTATTGTACATTCGGGTATTGTTCTTGATATTATTCTGAATATTAAATTTATGTCATATTTTAATGAAACCATGTGGCGTATTCAAAAATGGTGTAAGAAAAAAAACTACTTGGAAGACTAGATGCACAATTACCAACCAAATGCTTTGTTGTTGTATATCTGATGGATTTTAAAATTTCGATCTATTCATATATATGCTCTTGCGGTATACCCTAAAAAGCTGCGTTGTTATAAAATTAAATCAATAATTCCTTTTCTTGAAAATTTAAATTATTGATTGGGTTTATAAATTTCTTAGATTTTTTTTTTAATTTGATGAACATTTTTCAGAAATACTGCTGATTGATCATTTTTTGTAGTTTTTGCCGACATGGAATTTTTAAAGAATATTTAAGGTTTCATTTTTGTGTTTTAACTATTTCTATTATCTTGATTATGATTTCTTTTTACAGCGTATGCTTGCCCTTTTCTTGCGGCGATATTTTATCATTACATTTTCTGGATTGCAGTTGTCATATTTCTTCAAACAGATTATCCGTTAAAATTGTAATGGTTGTTTATATTATAACAATACCTTGCAATATAAACTTAATTCTTATAGCATTGACAAGTGAAAGAGTCGGCTTACCATTATTGGGTTTACAAATTATCTTTTTTGCTGCCATACAGTTCTTTGGATTCTAGAAAGGACATCAGTTGACTAATTAATAATTGATTAATCCGTTGCTTCTATAGACACATAATATTGCAACGTGAATGTTAAATAACATATTAATCAAATATATTTGTAATAGTCCAGTAAACATGTATACAATGTATGAAAAACATTGTTATCTTTTTAAATGTTAAAATTAGTACATGATATTTTCATATAATAACTACAGACACGCGAGAGATACAAACTATTGATATTTCAAAGAGAACAATCATTCAACGAAAGAACTCACCTGAATGTAAAATAATCTGCGTTGTACAAGGTCTCTTAACTTTTTAAGTTCAATAACATTCCCGTGTATTATACTCATATTTGTTTCATTTTTCTGATTATGACATACACTATGCTGATTTCCTTTGGATTTCAAGACCAGTCTTTAATAGTAAAAAATGGCATAAATGCTGTATTCATATATATTGAAACATTTTAGAAACCATATTGATTCATTTGATTAAAAACACGTATAATTTCTCGTGCAGACTACTTTACAGATGCAATTATTCTTCAATTTAAATTTGCGTCAACTTTACATGGACTACATTATATTCTTTACATGTGCAACCAAAAAAAAACAGGTTTTTATGTTACTTTGTTGTACTGTATAAAATACAAAATACACAGAAATTCATATCAACAACCGATTGCAAAATCAACACAATTTCAGCTTATCACGAGTTTATAATATGTATACTATAAACTCATAAAGTAAGTGTTTACCTTGCGGCAAAAATGTTAAGCCGATCTGTATCGGGCTGGAACATTGATATATTTTCATACGCAAGACACCACACAATAATTGAGAAACATGTCACATTAACAAATAATCTAAGTCTGAAAAAAAGAAGAAACAAATAGAAACAACTACGAAAACCCAAATAAACAGCAACATTATAACCAAAAATTAAAAAGTAAATATCAGTCTAAAATATAATAATAATTAATATTGAAAAAATATACACCGAAGAGTGATCAACTGTTATATAAAATTGTTTCTGTACACACAATTTCGATAACAAAGTTATTTGCGTCATACATTAATTAAAAGTTACAGGATAATTAATAAAAAAAATAAACTTGTCATACACATAAAACATTTTCCTTAGCAAATATTTCAAACTACTTACGTCTTCTTCATTTTCCTAATAACATGATTCTTAAATGTTTTTTTGAGGAAGTGTTTAACCAGTTTGCTTTTTTGTAACTCAACAGTTGAAAGTCCTACATACAAATACACACTTTGGTGACCAGCGCTTATAATGTATATTTTCCAAATGAAACATTATTCCTTTAAATAACTTTCAATGCTTTAATCTTAAATAAGTAAGAAAGAGGTATTTTACTTTACATACTTATTAAACGCAAAGCCGCATAATGATTTGTTTCTGTAGGTAATATTGATCTCGGCATGACCATAGTCAGGTGTTGCATTGTTTGCTTACAACACACAAATTGAAGAGCAACGTGCCGTATATGGTTTTTTCCAAGTATAAGCCTAGGACTTTCCAAGTATAAGCCTAGTACCTTACCCAAAAGTTGATAGAAAAATCCTGTAAATACGATTAGCTATTAATTTGATTTATTGACTAGCATTTTATAGATATCTTTCCAATATTTTAGAATTACCGTCTTTAACAAATTTGTAACAAAAGGGGATAGATCGTTTTAATTTCTGTTGATGTGTTCAGTCTTTGTCTGAAAGAAAAATATTGTCTTGTTTATCGGTCACTGGATAAAAACTACGATTCTTTCAAATTAATACTGCCGGTTTGCAATGTGGCAATTTCTTTCTGTTTTCATTTCACAATATTTTACCTTTAAATACATGTCCTAAATTTGAATGAAAATTACCATGAACTTCTTCTTTTACATTTTAATGGTCAATTAGTTTATTTTTAGCGGTTCGATGCAATATTTAATTTATTTTTAATCCAGTTGGTTGTTGAGCATACTTGTGGACAACTTTATTTCATCTTTAAAAATTCGCTGAGGAGAACAGGCCTTTGATCCATTTTACATCGTTATAACAATAACGCATCAATTTATAATATGTTTACAACCATAACCCTTTCATCGGATGAGTAGATAAGGGAGCCAACTTAATATCACTTGCCCCTCAAAGTTTTGGGTTTGAATATCGTCAGGGACATTGGTATATTGCTTTTTATGAAGCAAGCCAGCCAGATAACGGAGGGCTTTTGAATCCACTATCTGACATAATGCACAAAAGCATATGGCTGCTGTTGAGATTTTGTATTGGTGAAAAAGATGTTATTGAGGAATGGGTTTTGTCGATAGGACAAAAATGCCCTTCAGCAATATATAATGTGTTTTAATAACTTGCATTATGTTTTCACTTTAAGGCTTTTTTCATAAAGTTTAATTTTGTATGAATTTTTATGTTTGGTTATTGTTTCAAACGCTTAAAAGAAGATCAACAAGAGCTAGCACATGTGTCGCCCTGTAGACAGACAGATAATGGTTAAATAAGGTAAATTCCAGTATATTGTTGGTGCCTGTAACAAGTTAATTTGACAGTATTTGATCATTTATTTATTACTCTTCCCTCTTTGGTTGGGGAAATAGATTGTTTCATATATATATAATTATATATTGTTTTGATTGTTGACACTTGCATATACTCTAATTGATAATATGATTTAATTAAATCTAATTGTAATATAAATCCGTGACACTTAGAAATATAAACAATTGACAGGTAGGAGCACATTTAGAATCTGTTCGCAGTTAAATCCCTGTTCTTTTACCTTGAATGTGGTCGCTTGATGAAAATATTGATTATCAACTAGCTGACTAATTAGCAATCGCCAGTCGCGTTTGAGCAAAAGTCGCCTAATACATAATATATATATATATATATATATATATTTATATATATATATACTCTCTCTCTCTCTCTCTCTCTCTCTCTCTCTCTCTCTCTCTCTCTCTCTCTCTCTCTCTCTTCTCTCTCTATATATATGTATATAAATAAAAACAAAAAACATAGTCCATGAGTTAACTTATTAAATTATTTGCCAACCGGTTTCTCTTATGATCAATCAGGGCAAATGATCATGAAGAGAAACCGTTGGCAAATAATTAAATAAGTTAACTCATGGAATGTGTTTTTTGTTTATTTATATGTGACTTTTTTTCCGGCACTTGTTTTCATTTTTTGTATATATATATATAATATATATATATATATATATATATATATATAATATATATTATATATATTATATATATATATATATATATATATATATATATATATATATATGTTAGACATGTATATGGGTCATGCCTACATATCATGGGTTGTGTGGACCTCACATATCCAGGGATGCAGGGAGATAATAAACGCTATAATTTGAAGTAATTGGTTTTTATAATGTATCTATTTACTTTAATTTTAGATTTCCTAAAAAAGTTATAGATACCATTGTGGGACACGACACTGTGGGTTGATGACCCACAAGGCAATATATGTATAGAATATTTGCAAAATGTTGGTCATGTCAAACTTTCCGTTCTTATATAGAAATATACGTATATTTGTTATTTGTTTTATATAATAAATTCAACACAACATTAACTTGAAAGTAAAAATGCTCAGTGACTGATAAACTGGATTTAATTTGAATAGGGTAGTACTCAATTATGCAAGTTAAAATCATTTATCGTTGTCTTATAGACTGAAACACACACACACATTAATACACACGTGTATTGAAAAAGGTGCCGGTGTACAGGCCATCTTTATGTATTCTTTTTCATGAAAAAAAATCTGAGAGTTGTCTAATTCAAATAAAAATGTTAAAATGTAAATATTTATTAACGCAACCCTTGTCTTACGGCTGGCGATGGGTATAACTATCCTACAGAATACATTTTTCTATCAATAAGAAAAAAAAACAACAACATCCCTTATTTTTTATTATTACTTATAAAAAATCTGCATTTTTACACCTGAACACCTATTAGCCGGGGCTTTAATAAGCCCACTTATAATGCAATAATTAGAATTTCATACAACAGGAAATGTTGATAAGAAAATCATTTAGTAGATTAAGTCACTCTTATGAAAATGTTCCAAACAATTTGTTTGTCCATTCTAGTTGTTGTTATTTAAGTGACTAATTTAATTCTTATTTGTTTTTATTTTAGTTCTTAAAAATCACATGTCTATAAATTTTCAGAGTTTTAATTTTTATAAACTTTTTCTGATTGCTTATTTCCTTCAATTATTAAATCAATCGGCAAACGACTTGTAAGTGTACATGTGTCATTAAATACCCTAAACATGCGCTGTTACTACCGATTCGGATAACCTACATAATAACAGCAGGGGGCCATAAAACCATGGGAGTCTGGCTGGACAAGGGTTATGCGGGTATTGACACTGCGAAAAATATACTGATATACGGGAATATACGGTCCCGTTTTTTTGACAAATACGGGCGTGTACGGGATGTATTTGTCGAATATACGGACCAAGTATACGAGTCCGTATAGGGAACACCGGGTATACGGAATTCCGTATTTGCCCCATATACATGTACGTATATTTGTTCGTACTTTTGAAGTATACGGAGAATAAAATCCCGTATACGGAATTTATCAAGGTTGTTATCCCTAGTATACAATAATATACCAGGGATATACGGGACCGTATTTTCTACATATACAAAGGATGTACGGACTCGTATTTTCTACGTATACAGAGGATATACGTAACCGTATATTCTACATATACAGAGGATATACGGAATCGTATTTTCCACATATACAGATGATATACGGAATCGTATTTTCTGCATATACAGAAGATATACGGAATCGTATTTTCTACATATACAGGGAATATACAGAATCGTATTTTCTACATATACTGAAGATATACGGAATCGTATTTTCTACATATACATGTACAGGGGATATACGGAATTGCATTTTTTAGTTTTACACATGGTATACAGAACTGTATTTTCGAGATAAAAGAAGGTACAGATAATATCAAAAGCATGCATTTACATATAAGTAACACCTATACATGACCGAAATGGAGGCTTGTACAATAGAACATGTTTGATTACAAATTGTGAATGGGAACTGTAAAGTCATATGCTTAAGAACTTTATCTTCACAATTGGAGTATTTCAAATAATAAAGTAAAAACCAAATCGAGTCACTCTTAAATATTTATTATTTCATAAACATATATTCAATATGTATACATATATTAAACAAAATAAACCTGTCTTCGCTTCAACAGTCATATATTGTTGTAAGCCTTACTCTTGAGGGACACATTAATGTAGCGTTGCAACGGAATGGCGATATACCGGTATGTTGCGATACAGAGTCATGTAATACGTATCACAGTGCAGAACATCCTCACCGCGATATTTTCTTCAAAGATCGAATTATACATGTACATGTTTCGATATTTTCAAGCCGTAACCTTTATGTATTGCATGTTGTTTAAATCTAGAACAAACTATACCAACTTGAAGTTCCTTTCTATTTATCTTAACAATTTATGAGCCACTTATATTACACCCATAAAACATTTTAAAGATATTAATATCATTTTTTCGTGTTAACATTCACATATTATTTTAGGAAAATGAGTCCATAGCACAAATTGATTATAACAGAAAGTTTTAATAATAACCATTAAAACTAAAAATCCGTATTCACAGAAATTCGACATTCAAACACTGTTCTTAAAAGCACTTAAATATATCATTCATCTATAATAGGAATGTTACGTAAACCAGTGTAACGGTGTCTATTTCTTGACGTAGGAAATGTTTTCTCCAGATATTACAATCTTCTTCGGCATGTGTGTATCTGAAAATAGAGAGTTTAAAATCCTGTTTAAATAGTGTCATGAAATAGTTATCACAACTTTCAAAAAGACTATACACAAGCATTCTATTTAAGCGTATACATATACACATTTTTTTTTCTTACGCAAATTTCAAAATTATTTTATATTATTAGGATAAAGATGTCATTTATAAGCAACAATTTACACAGGATTTAAATGAAATGATTAATCTTTGACGGATGATAAGTTATATTTTTTTGTTATAAAACCTTTTCGAATATATATATATATCACACATGTAATTTAATGGTATCTTTGTTCTATGTAAAGAGTATTTTATTGATTAAAAATATATTAGTACAAAATAACATTACATTGGGAAAAAGTGCTGACATAATCTTTTTGATCGTTTTATAATGTATATTTGAATCGTTAGGAGGAATCAATTCGTTCTGAAAAAAATGTTTAAAATGTACAGATATGCGAAAGTACAACTTTATTTGCTACTCAGATGTAGATCCGTGTTTGCACAATAATATCAAGTTAAGTAAAATGCGGAATACCCAGTTATACCTTTCATTAATATAAAAACGTAAATCTTAACAAATTTGAATTATTGTTTGTTTCAGTTTCATTTAT